TGAGTTCAACCAGAGCCTGGAGGGCATCCAACTACCCAGCAGCCTGCAGAGTTTGACGTTTGGACTGAAGTTCAACCAGAGCCTGGAGGGCATCCAACTACCCAGCAGCCTGCAGAGCTTGACGTTTGGTGACAAGTTCAACCAGAGTTTGGAGGGCATCCAACTACCCAGCAGCTTGAGGACTTTCACTTCATGCAGGTTTTGCGTAGGCAGCTTGTGAGCCACGATGTGTTAAGCACAAAAGCAGCTCATGTCATGTGCAGAAGTGGTTTCTTTGCACGTGTTCGCATCCAGTGCCGGCGTTTCGTTCTTATGCTTTCCTTGCTGTCATTCCAACATTCTACACCAATGTCTAGCGGAAAAGGGAGCTCAACAACAACCCGCCCTCCTAGAGCTCTGTACCTCCAGCTAAGCCCAAAGCCTCGCGGGAGGCCCTCCTGCCGACTACGTCCTCGCGTCGTGCATGATCGAGGATGCTCGGCATTTTGCAGGGGCTGCATGTTGGGCAACGAAGCCCACGATCTCAAACTAGCGACCATCATCCTCTGTACAATGATTAGCGTGTGCTACCTGTCAGTTTGACGCTTCCATCAGGCTGTTGAGGCTTTGGGTGCTTAAGGCTGGTGCAAGGCAGATGCAGGACGCCGGATTTGCGGCTGAGCTAGGGTTCCCTTCATCCATCAAAGTGGGCCGAAGCAAGGCACCCTCCGCAAGGGCCGCTGTATGGCAACCTCGTGACATCACTTGTTGCATGTACGTAAGCACTTTATCCCCATCTTGATACCTTGATCCCAGCCCTAGAACCTCGAGCCTTGAACCTCTAAACCCCGGCCATTGTGTTCGGGAGCTCGAGGACAACGTCTGGTGGGAGTCCCACTTGGCGCGCAAAGGCATCCCGCGCGTGTTCCTGCGCCGTGGTCGCAACTGGTCCACGAATGCCCAGCCTAGAGGAGCCTTCAAGATAAGAATCTTGTTTTGGGGTAAATTGTGATACCAAATCATTGACGGGATATTGCTTCTCGTGATTCCGACCATTAAACTACCCATAGCCAGGAACACGCACACACACACACACAAAACCGACTAAACCCGATGATGCTTACCTTAAAGACTCGAGGGTTATAATTCTTGAAAACCCCCACCCCTGGAACCCAATCCCATTCAAGCTCCTGTAGCCCTTGACCCTACCATCGAGACCCTGGCACTAGCAATCCCAGAGCATGCGACGGTGCTTTCACTCAGCTGAGCAGCTCTCTACCATTTCAGTTTCATGCACCCAGAACCATGAACAGAACCTTTCCCGGCAGCTGTATGGGACCAAGGGGTAGTTCTATCCATCGAGACTATGCTCGTCTAATTTGTGGTTTGGCACGCTTAAAACACCAAGCCTCGTATATTATGTGTGGAAGCCTTAGAGGCCCTACCTATAAAGCCAGCCCTAACTCCGATACTTCCGAGAGCACGACAAAGCTCCCATGAAGAAGAGCAGTGACGCCCTATAAAGGCCCAGAGCCCCACCCTCAATTGTGCAAAGCCCCGCGAGGGAGACGCAGCTTGGTGCGAAGACCGTGGCGGACCTGGCCTTCGGCGCCGGGGCGCTGACGAGCTCCGAGGCCACCCGTTCCCATGAAATGCGAATGAAAGGGGGGGGGGGGGTGGGGGACGCAGTACTTCCTCAAAATTTTGAGCGGTTTGGGGTTGACCATTATTGGTCATGGTATTGCACCGAGTTTTACTAGTCCTCGTTGGGTTTGGGGGGGTTTAGGGTTTCTACTTATAACATGGTCTTCGTTATCGTTCCCCAATATTCATAGACTTAGTACCAGCACCTCCTAAGATCCTTGTCGAATGAGCCAGGCACCATGTTGAGCCTAAGCCCTAAGCCCTAAACCCTAAGCCCCAAATCCTAAACCCTAAACCCCAAATCCTAAACCTTGAATCCCAAACCCAAAATCCTGAACCCTAAACCCTAAACCCTAAGCCCTAAACCCGAAACCCCAAACCTGAGGTGTTTCGGGGCTTTGGATCATCATTCTTAGCAGCAACCAGCAACAAGCGACACCGACCTCGAGAGCTCCATCTTCCGCAACCCTTCCTGTCATACCAGGGTTAAGGGTTTAGGGTACATAGTCCGCCCTTCTCCCTCCAGAAGTCCGAACACGAAGCACGCGATTCGCAGCGCAGATCCCTACCAACCCCCATGTTGCATTAACGCCCCTTCTGTCCAGGACAAGACCGGATTCCACCACTACCACTTCGATCGCCAGGATCCGCACAGCACCGCCTGCCGGCCCTGTGATTCAGTCTCTTCTTTCATGGGGGTCTGTCTATATCGGAAGCTCGCTCATGATATAATTTCAGATCCTACTCCCGCAGCTGTGCAACGAGAGCGCGGAGGAGTATGCTCAGGTGTGGGACACGAACCTGTGAGGACCCTGTCGCATCAAAGGATGAGTTCCGGCCCTTTCATGATAGCATCCCGATCTCCATGGTCCCCAAAACATCTGGTTCTGTCATTCGTGATGCGTGCCGTGAAGTTTATAAGGCGCAGCCCAAACCCCAGACCTCAAGCCCAAACCCTGCACCATACTCCACACCTCCCGCCCCTAGACCCTAAGCCCCAAACCCCAAAGCCCCAAAATCCAAAGATGTTCACATACCTAAACCAAACCCAAAACACTGAACCCTAAATCCCAAACCCCTACATAAACCCTAAAGCCCAAATCTTACACCCCCTCAAGCCTGACGCCCGAAATCCGAAATCCTCGTACGCCAAAAGGCGGCGGCCCTGGACACGTGCACCGACGCCCTGGCGGCCCTTTGGGGTCCCTCGCTCTGGCCAGCACGGCCCAGGCTCGGTGCTCCCCCTTGGGTTTTTAAGGTTTAGGGGATCTTCCCAGCCATGGTCTCGTTTTGAGATCTTTGAGTTTAGGGTGTTTAGTATTAGGGGTTTAGCGGTTTAGGGTTTCGTCTTTCTTTGTGTGGTTCAGGGTTGTGGCGTTTGGGGCCCGAACTTGAGGCTGATTCACAGGAACTACGGCTTAAAACAGGGCTTCGAAGAATTTAAATCAGTATTCACCTTTGATTTACAGCACAATAAGCGACAACCTTATTCTGATGATTCTTGCTTGATTAGTTCATGGAAGAACCTCAAAGCACGTGGTCCCAAGCCTTCGAGCACGAGCCGCACGGTCAGGAGGGTTCGGGCGGCGCTGGTCGGCAATGCAGCGTTGGAGGAGGGGCTTCCCGAACCTTCTGGGTCAAAGGTATAGGCTCTTCTTGAGTTGTTCTGGTAGAGTTTAGACTTCCTTGCAGGGCCGGGGGTTATTTGAGCAATCGGGGTCCGTGCATGGTGCAGGAGAGCATGGTGAAGTGTGCTGCGCGATATGGGGACGTGGCAGGGCTGCCGGCATCTCCAAGTGGGGGGCTGCATAAGAAGTATCAGCATCGTTCCGTAGGGGTCCTTGCCTTTGGTTTATACTTTATATACCATAATATGGCCCAAACCGCTTCAAACTTTGCGATCCCTACATGTTACAGTGCTGTCATCATCTCTTGGGGAGCATGGGACACCCAAAAGCAAAGCCCAGTCGTCACCAGGAGCTCAGCCGCCCAGTCGCACTTGTGAGTTGGTGGGCACCTTGGCTTGGACCGTGTTCGCTTCGGGTCCCTGTCCAAGGAATCTCTAGAGGATCTCAGGTAATCCATAAGGAATGCAAAAGAAGGGGTTGAACTGAAGTATGCCTCCGAAGGAGGAATCAAGCCAGCGGAACTGCATTTGCGAAAGAGCAAAGTTACTACAAAAGAACCCTGACAGAGATCTTAGAGAACCCGTATAGAACCTTTATGGAACCCGTATGCAGCACGTACAGAGCCCTGCTACCGCCCTTGTAGAAGCCTTTCTTACCCCATCAGGAGGCGGACCACTACTACCTCTTCGCCTGCACCGGCCGAGCCTTGCAGCACTGGCGCCGGGACCTGCGACGCCATGGCGGGCTCGAGGCCAGCGCCAGCGTGTCCTAAAGACTTTGCGACAGAGGGCTTAGGGTTCAGGGTGTAGGGTGTAGGGTTTAGAGTTTAGGGTTTAGGGTTTAGGGTTTAGGGGTTTAGGGGTGTAGGGGTTTAGGGTTAAGGCTTTGCTAGGGCTTTTTTGTCCACCAGCCATTAAGACGAGGTTCAGTTGCACTACCTGCACGCCCTGTCGCCTCCAGCACCCGACCTCGAGCCGAGGCAGGAAATGGCTGGCCCTTGGTTTGGGGATTTCGGGACGTCGAGTGTAGGGTTTATATTTAGGGTTGAAGACTTGGGGTTTCGGGTTTAGGGTTAGTTAAAGCTTTAAGATGGGAATTTGGGAGTTTTGGTTTCGGGTGTAGGATTTAAGGCATGGGCTTCGGATGATATTTCCGATTTCAGATTTGCATAGGTTTTTGAGATGCAGGTTGATGGTTTGGGATTTACGACGTGGGGCTAGGGTTTGTGGTTTGAGGTGGTTCTGGGCGAGGTTACCCGACGCCGGCTTCAAGCCGCAAGCGATCCAGCTTCAATTCCATGCCTGTGCCTTTTTGGCCATAAGCCCTGGAGTCCAACACACGGTGGATGGGACGCTTGAATCATTGCAAGAATCGTTTCAGAGCCCAGCATGCATCCTACGAGGCTAGGTGGCAGAACTTCTGTCGAGCAAGGGACGAGCTTCTCTGGGCGTGCCTTCAAAGATGTCCACGAAACCCAAGCGACGCCCAACCACTCCCCCTCCACACCCCAAGCGCTTCACCCCCTACGTCCTATAAACCTCTCTCTAAACCCCCATAGATATTCTATGGATCCCTTACAAATCCTGGACCCGTTATGGGCGCCTTCCAAGATATCCTAAGCCCTAAACCCTAAACCCTAAGCCCTAAACCCAAAGCCCTGAGCCCTAATCTATGGATCCCCCTTTTGGGCGCCCTCCAAGATACCCTAAGCCCTAAGCCCTAAACCCTCAACCCTTCAACCCCAACGAGCCCTCAACTTCACTGAGGATGCGGAGCGCTCCGCAGATTTTTCCTCCGAGCCCTTCGACCACGAGGCCTTCCTCCCCGCACCTCTCAGCTTCAAGGCCCGGTTCGTCGATTTCCAACAACCCGGTGCACTCCTTTATATTTGGAGGTCCATGTAAGAAAAGATACCGTTTTCTGAAGCTAAAAGACCCGAGCGCCCTAAATCCCGCTTCTCAAACCTTCTCTGAAACTTGAAGATGCCAGGCCGCTGCAAACGAACTTCCTCACAGCGCCATCCTCCATGCGCCTCCGCATGCTCCGGGTCGGCCCGCTGCGGGCAGCAGGCGGAAACCGGTCTGAGGGGGGTTGTGAAGGGTTCTTTAAGAAGGGGTTCCCAAGACGCTTCCTAGAAGGGTTCAGGGCCTTTGGTGGTTTAGAGCTTCCGAGTCATTTGGGGTTCAGGGCCGAGGGATTGAAGTGGGGTTTACGGTTCATGGTTTTGGGTTGAAGGATTTAGGGTTTACGGGGTTAGGGAGTTTAGGCTTGCGGTTGACGGATTTTGGGGATAGGATAGGGGTTTGTGCAATGCAAATGTCCCGACAGGCGTGTGATGGAGTGAGTTGGAAGAAGCCCGTAGGCAATTGAAATTCTTGCGGCGGTGGCGAAGTGTAATTACGAATCATGTCTGGATGCACCCATTTGGAAGTTTATGTCTTTTTGATGTTTGGCGGTTTCGAGAGGTGACGTTGGCTTCGTTGAGGTTGCTGTCAGGGTTTCCGGCGTTCTGGGGTTTCGGAGTGTTGGGAGTTGTAGACTTAAATAATCACTAACACCCGAAGCCCTAATACTCTTAGCTGAAAGCCTTAAACTTGAAACAATGCGTGGAAGCTTCTTCGAGGTTCAGAGAGTTGCGACGCTGGGCCCTAGAAAACGTCAGTTGTGGATGAAGATTTTGAGCTCCTGCATCCAGGCGCCCGCTGGTTGATGTCGTGGAGTTTCTTGGCCTAAATTGTTTAAACCCTGATTTCAAGGTATGAATTTTAGCGCTTGTAGGGCTGTTTTCATGCTACGTATTCGGGGCCTCCTGAGGAAGGCTTTCTTCAGCTTTAACATGAACCCGAAACCCCTAAACCCTTCTCCTCAGGTTCTGTGCGGCTTCCGCGCCTGCGCCGGCGAAAAGAGCACCGGAGCTTCCGCCATGCGGGAACTTCCAGGCTCTCTGGTGAAGAGAAATGCCGTAAAGAGTTGCATTATCAGGGGTTTAGGGTTGAGGGCTTAGGATTTACGTAAACCCCTCAACTTGCCTTGCTGCACTTGGGGGGCCCATGAGTCTTTACGGCTAACCCCGAGACTCGGAACTCCAAGCCAGAAGCCCCAGGAAGGGTTTAGGGTTTAGAGTTTAGGGTTTAGAGTTTAAGGCTTGAGGGTTCAGGGTTTGGAGTTTAGGGTTTAGACTTTTAGGCTGAGGAATTAGGGTTTGGTCATCGATCCCAGTAGCCCAGCAACCCCGAATCGCCGAAGCCCCACATCCGAAACCCTGAAGCCCAACTGTGTCCTCACCCGGAGCAGGAATCCACAAACTCCATCCCAAAGCCAGCACACCCTACGCGCCTGAACCCCTAAACCCGTAAATCCTAAGCCATAAACCCCCTAAATCCTTAAACCCTATAAACCCCTAAACCCCTGGACCCTAAACCCTACTGTAGGCCCTAAAAAAATCCCTGAGCAATGACCCAATCCAACACGCCTGGAGGCCTGGATCCTGAAGGCGACCTGCTGGGGAGGAGGCCCGGATCCTTTTCAGAGGGTGTAGGGTTTAGGGTGTTTAGGGTTTAGGGTTTAGGGTTTAGGGTTTAGGGTTCAGGGTTCAGGGTTCAGGGTTTTTGGGTGTAGGGTTACGGCTAAGGGTTTAGGGTTTAGGGTTCAGGGCCTCAGAGAGCCAACACCCCTCATTTAAGGAAGGCACCCTAAACGATAAGGGGCGTAGTTTCATGATCTAAGGTATACCCCTCAATTAAGGAATGCACCCTACGCTATCAGGGGCTTTGCATTATGATCTAAGGTATATTCCTTGTTGAAGGGGTATTGGGTTCCCTGGCTCTTTGTAAAGTAGGGTTTAGGGGTTTGGGGCTCAGCTTTTTTTTGAGGAGGGGGGTGGGAGTTGGGGTTCGGGGAGTTGTTCAGATTCGTTGGAGCGCATGGTTTGAGGCCTGGTGTGCATGGTGGAGAGCTCTTCTAAACGCTCCTGCTGCCACCAAGCTGTTCCGTTGCAAGCTCCAGGCGACCCGCGCGATCGAACGGAGCTGATCGGGGCAGACGGCTATGCCGGCGTGGCATGCGACCTGATCGCAGCTGGCCTGAGGTTTAGGGTTTCGGCCTTTTGGGCCGAACCAAAAATCCAATACCCTACAACCACCCTTGGCAACCCTATTCTAAGCACTAAGGCAGAGGGAAACTTCAGAGCTGGAGTCAAGTTCAGGACGCGAGAAACTGCCCGCATACTAGAAGATAGCTATGAATGTCTGCAGGTGTTTGGAGACTAGCTTCATTCGGATTCAGGCCTAGATATTATTCCCATCAAGAGGCAAGGAAAGGAGTAAGCGGAGCTTGACCGCAGGAATTCCGTTCACCCGACATCACACGAAGGGCCTGCCGCAGCAGAGATCCTTCTCCAACGCCTGTGCTCCGAACCGGGAATCCGGTATCCTGAAACCTAAACCCCGAATCCTAAGTTCTAAACTAAATAATCTTGTCCTAATCTAATCCGAATCGAGAAACCTTACAGCCTAAACCGAAGAGCCTGAAAGGCCTTAAAAGCTCTGTTGTTAACTGGAGTCGTATATTCCTTAACTAAAGAAAATGCCTTAACTCTAGAGATGCTAAGGATGCCTCAGGGGATTTTGGTGTCTCCGGGTTGCCCCAAGCCCCTACAAACCCCCTAAGAATCTCAAGAAGTTCCGTTAAGGCCTCCTTGATTGAAGCACTTCTTTAAAAGGGGGTGATGTTGAACCGTCAGGCTGGAGCCCTTCGCACAACTTCTGCTTCTCAGCATTACTGCCGAGGTCTGCCATTAAGGGCTTTCGGAGCGAAACCTACATTCTTGGGGCTTCTTATCGGTGGTTTCCGCATATGTTGCCGTTGGAGGGTCGTCTTTTGGCTGCAGGCTTTCGTTTGTTCAACCAGGGATTGGGGCTGTTGGATTTTGCACGAGGGGCTGAACTGAAGAAACTGCATGTCGGGTTTTTGTATCGTCGTTTTTAAGAGTTTCCGTTCGCATTTTCGATTCTCCTTGGCCGGGTGAGGTTCATGCAACAAGACCGAGCACTTACGAAGTAAGTAGGGGGCTTTGGGAGGCCTCGTCGGTAAACTCCATGGCAGTAGGCATGCTGTGGCACGAGGTCATCCTCAAGCCTTGCGCCAACTATGGCCGGTGCAAAGGTTTAGGGCTTAGGATTTAGGATTTAGGGGTTACATTCTGTCGCACGTTGCGAGGCCCATGTCCCAAACCCGAAAGCCAAAAGCCCAAAGGCCGTGAATCCAAGAGTCCAAAACTCCGATCCGGAGGAACCGCACCTGGCAGTTGCGCGGCCAGACCATCGGCAACTGCTTCTCGAGCTCGGCGACCTTCTACCATGCGAGGCCAGGGGACCTTCAAAATGGGGACCTCCAAGGGTTTCTTGAAAAAGGCTTTCGGTTGGGATTTAAGCTCCAGGGTTCGAGATTTCAGGGCCCAGGTTGTTGAGCTCATGGGGTTTCTAGTGGGGTTCTGAAGAGTTTCAGGTGCAGGGTCTACTGCTTCCCAGTAGCTCCGGCAATTTGGTACGTGCCAGTCCCTTTCAGTGTGCCCATGATAGGAGCAACGTACTCTCTTCGGGATTCAGAAAGGGATCCTAACTGAAAAAGCCTAGTATCTTTGAGTATCTCATGCTATCTTACTGTACAGTACAGCTGATCGTATCAACTATGGTACTAGACTTTCTAGAGTATGGTATCTTATGCTATTTTGATGCTGGGCAGCTCCCAGGCACATCTGTCAGGCGCTCAACGCCACGCTGCCGACGCCGCCAGTCTGTTCAAAACTCAAAACCCCAAACCGTAAACCCTAAACCCCAAATGGTAAACCCTGAACCCCAAAGAACAAACCGGAAAAGCCTTAAACTGAAAGGTTGCAGGCTTGACAGAGTGTTGATGCCTATATAACAACAAATCGGCCACCCTTTGACACCAGCACCTTAAAACACGGAAGCCAGACATACAGCGGCATACATGCCGTGCGACATCACGTTTTGGTGTACCAGGGTGCGTTTCTCATCACTACGATGATCGAGTCTGCTCTTGTCAATGGTCCATCATGCAAGTGTCGTGGCGACTTTGGAGGCCCTTCAACTTCCACTTCGACTGTAGCTGCTCCCAACGTAGGGGCTGGCATGGATCTGGATGTATTATTCGGGTCATGCACAATGACAGGCTCTAAAACACAGGGTCGCGCACGCAAGCGCCGTTTTTACGTCTTCCTCCCGTCGTTTAGACATCGGTGTGACTGTTCGCGTTCTCCAGTTTCCTGCTCCAGCCCTTAAAGAAGAACCCATAGACAAATCCTTGAAACCAAACCCTAAACCCAATAAAACCTACAAGCCCTAAACCCTAAATTCTAAAAGAGGACCCATACGCGTGTCCTTAAATTCCAAGGTCCCAGCAGATCGTCGGCTGCTGCTCCATCGGCTGCTACGGTCTGTCTCGCGTTTGGCTGAACTCCGAGGTGCCGGAGTGCTACCAGGAGCCAAGGGGCCGGCTTTTTGGAACATTGGGGGGTCGGAATGATTCGTAGTAGGATTCCCGGATAGTCCATATAGAATTCTCGGAATAGTTAGCAATATTTTGTTTGTCTTATACTGCATGCCCCAAACAAATACTCAGGCCACAATATTGGGTGCAAATGAAGGGAAATATTGGGCGAACCGAGGGACATCATAGGCTTTTGTTTGTTTACTGTTTTCCACGTTTTTTTAACGGTTTACGGCATGGGGTTTTGGGTATATTCGTATGACGACTGTTCAAACAACTTTTCGTATTGGCATTGGTATTGTTGTGATGTGTGTTCTTAATTCCATTACACCATGTCGTGTTGCATTTCGTCATCTTGCATTGCATGAAGTCATGTGCCATCATTACCGAATGTGCCGACTTAGAATGCATCCTACGGCCGTGCCTCGCATCATTCTGCGCCGTACGCATTGCACAGTGGGTGGCATTCCACGCAATGTTTCATCCGATGCAACGTCATTCGATGTCGCCTGTGCTCGGAACATGCTGTGGCCTTGTTCCAACATGCCGTGAAAGCGCCGAACCCCAAACCCTAAACCCCCCAACCGCCTGCCGGAGAGCAGATTTCGGGCGAGTTGGTGAAAGATTGCAAGAAGAGAAGGGGGCTGGTGTTTGCAGTCTTATCAGGGCTTTGTTGGGCCAGTATAGAAGACGCTCTATACTCTGCAGGATGTGTGGGTTTGGGTTCTGGGTCGGGTTGGTGGAAGTCTTGGCGTGAACTTTGGGGCTCCGCCCCCCAAGACCGAAGCTCCCCCAGCACCGAAACCCCAAACGCTGAAACCATAAAAGCCAGAAAGCCCCAAAGCCTAAAAGCCGGGTTTAGGGTTTAGGGTTCACCCTAGCGGCCCCAAGCTCGAAAAGCTAAAGCCCGAAGGAATATGACTCTCCTCCGCCAGTGCTGCCGCATCTCACACCGCATTCATATTCTTATGGGGCTGAGGCGTGAGCTGCAGGGTCGTCGCTTCAACCCTAGCCCCTACAGTTCCAATCCTAATCCTGCCCTAAACCCTACACCCCCGAAGCCAAACCATAAAACCTCAAACCCTAAAGAGCCCTCAAGCCCTGAGCCCTACCAGGACCCCCCAAGTGCCCTTTGATCTTAATTGTGGGTACTTAGAGTATAACATGGTGTAGTTGGGAGGTCCAAGTAAAGCCTTAAGCCTTATACCCTAAGATCCCTAAGGCCCTTAACCCCTTAACCCCTAAACCCTAAAATCCCTAAAGCCCCAAACCCCAAAATCCCGAAAGCTCTGAACCCCAAACCCCGATCTGCATCTTTTTTTGTCGACCAGCCCAGGTTTGCGCCGGAGGACGAGCCCATCGGCGTCCCGACGAAGGTGCCCGACCGGCGAGCTCAAGAGGACCGTGGAGAGGGGGGTTTGTAGGGCTTCAGGGTTTGAGGGTTTCAGGGTTTGAGGGTTGCAGGGGTTTTAGGGTTTGAGAGTTCTAGGCCTTGTAGGGTTGCAGGGGGTTTGGGTTTAGGGTCTTGGGTTTAGGGGTTTTAGGGTTTCAGGGTTTCGGGGGTTTAGGGTTCAAGGTATAAAAATGGTGGCGGTTCGGGGGGAGCAGGACAGGACAGGATTCTGAGAACAACTCCGTGAGCCCAGCGCCGAAACCCAAAGCCTCAAATCCCAAGCATTGAAGCTGCATAACCCTAACCCCCCCAACCCTGGACCGCCTGGACCCTGAAGCCCTCACGCCCTAAAGCACCCGAAAGCTCAGCCGAAACTGCAGGAGCTCGCCCGGGCTTTCCTTCGAAAGCATGAAGAAGCGCGAAGCACCGAAATCGAGTGGGATCCCCCGCTGAAGGTGCGGGAAGATGCAGGAAAAAAGACATAAAAAGACCAGCAGGTTGCGGGACTGCTTGTTCAACGAGGCGGTTTGGGGCTGTAGGGATTTTGCGCTTTTGGGTTTCCGGGCTTAGGTCGTGGAGATTTCCCGTATAGTGTTTTAGGCTTTCGGGGTTTGTGGTTTTAGGGGCTTGGTGTCTCAGGATGTGTGGATTTAAGTAGGTCCTGGGACCTCCTTTCAGGACATCTTCACCACGCAGGTGGTCCTTTTGTCCTTGCTTCTGTGCTATCTGGTGTTCCTGGTTCAGGGTTTGGTGTTGCTCTAGGGTCGGTTTAGGGTTTAGGCCGGGTTATTAAAATTCTCAATCCAATGCATGACCGGAGATCACCAGATTTGGCCGAATCGAGCCGGATCCCAGAATGCTCACAGTCCGACCCCAGCAGCGTCTCGCGATGCCTTTGGCTTCCACATCTTTACGTCTTAGGCTTGCCAAGGCCGAAAATGTCATGTAGGAAGCCCTTGAACAGCCTGAAGACCTGCAGCTTTGCTAAGAGTCTTCCAGCGAGCCAACGTCTACTTCGTCTTGTCGCGGACGGCTTACGAGGACAGAGGGGCCAACAGGGAGGGAGCTTTGGCAGAGCACCATGGGTACTACGATTCCTTTCAAGCCGTTCCCAAGCAAACCTCCTGCATTTTGATCCTGCAATGTACTCTTCTTGATGAGATTCCCATGAACTAAGCATTTTGAGGTCTGCATGATGCTTGTTTGCGGTTTTCGGGCGGTGTGATCCGAAAGCCCACCCGGTCACCCGAGCCCTGAACTTCAAACTAGCGCGAGACCCTTCCGTTAAAGGCTTAGGGGTTAGGCGTTTAGGCTTTGGCGTTAAGAGGCTCATGGTTTGGATGTTGGGGTTTGGGTTTCAGGCTTCGGGTTCGCTTCTGTTTGCTGCAACAGCTTGGGTGAGTAACCCTCAAAAAGACAGAATCAAATGCTAGGGCCATCTAGTGAGGTTGCGTTGCGTTACCACGAGCCCAGGAGCATGTGGCATTCAGGTCCGGCCACCCAGACTGCTGGCGGGAGGAGGACCCTTGTAAAAGGATTGATAAGTGCTTTTATAGGCCGGTAACATCGGGGCCTGATTACAGTAATTGGAACAGGATTTGGGGGGGGGGTATACCGGTATACCATATACTGCAATGATTTGAAGGAGCCCTCAGGAATTCGATGGACAGCTAGTCAGAGGCCCTGTGGGTCATGCAGGATCTCGCATCAATGAACCCGTCATCATGAAGCCTTACACCGGAAACCCTGCACCTTCATCCCTGCACCCTAAACCCTGGACCCCTGACACTCTCGTCCATAAGTCTTGCAAGCCCTGACCCCTACAAGCTCTGAAGCTTAAGCCTTAAACAGGAGGAAAACGGTGTTACATAAACGCCAGAGCCCTAAGCCCTAACTCCCAAGGCCTAAAAGCCCTGAACCCTAAACCATAAACCGCAACGCCTAAAACCGAACTCCTTTTCCGAAACCTTACCCTTATGGCCTACATCCTGAACCCTGAACCATAGGAAGGAAACCCTCTAAAGTACGAGCTGTGCCCTATACCGAAAACCCTGAACCCTGCAGTCTTACGGGAATGCTGTAAAGTACTGGACGTAATGGATTTTTCACAGTGGTTCTGGACGTTGGGTCTTCCATCCAGGACTTGCGGGCTTTTGGAGCTCAGGAAGTCATGGGAGGGAATACTTAGGGTTTACGGGTTTAGGGTTTAGGGTTTAGGGGTCTATGTTTAGAGTTTAGGGGTTTAGGAGTTAGGGGTTTAGGGTTTAGGGTTTAGGGTTCAGTTTTTTTTTGAAATTCGAGTCGATGGCCCCTTGACCCAAAAACCGTGAACCCTGAAAGATGACAACCTTTGTTGAGCAGGATCGGCTTCGGTACTTAGATTTCTCCCGTAGCGATGCGCAAACTCGGCCTCGGGTCCGATACCCAAAGGGGAAGCGTTCAGAAGGCTGAGAGCCTGCACGGCCTGAAGCCAAAACTCTCATCCCCCCAAAACCTGCGTCCTCCACAACCAGCGGGCAGCGCACCCTCAGGATTTTCAACTTCGCTGCGGCCGTGCGTGCGCTGCAACCGCTGCCATCCGAAGGCCCCATCATCATGATTAGATTTCTACCACGTAGAATGTAGAATGCTTCTTCTTTGTATCCTATCTGATATTGCGTTTTTCCCAGCATCCTGGAGCCAGTTGTGCTTGATTTTCTGCATTGGCTCTGGCATGGAGCTTTAAGCCCGACTTTGACAGCATGATGCATGTTCGCCACACCGAGCTGTTTCTGTTCACAGGCAGCGACAGAAGTTTCTCGGATCCGACGCAAGCGCCATGGCTTCAGCATCCGCAGCAGAGGAGACGAGCTACGACTTGTCAGAGCCGGAAGCCTTACTCGGCTTCCTCGAAGATGCCGGCATCCGCCTGGTGCGCCTCGAGTACCTGGTCGAGCTCTCTGCGTCCGGGAGGCCGTTGCCGCGCCGTCAAGAGGCGGAGAAGGAGACGACGAGCTCAGGGGCGCCGGCGCTCGTAGAGAGCAGCGAGCTCAGAGAAGTGAAGATTGACCCCGATACCGCCCACATGTCCGTGATGCTCCGGCACCCGGTGCCCAGACGGGTCCGAGTCCACCTTGTCTCCTTCAGCCACATGTGGGAGAGCATGCAGCATCCGGATCCGTGGAGGTTCGGGCCTCGGGCGGGAAAATTCTGGGACTGTGTCGTAGGAGTAGATCTGCAAATCGCAGTGTGATTAATGTCGCACCACCTTGTCCTGCTGCCCTTGCGTGCGAGGTTCCAGCTGAATGCCATCGTGGAGGAGTTCCGTCCACGGCTCCTGGATTCCGTCGTTTGGATCTTCTACGACTTCGTGTCCTTGCACCAATACACCAGAAACGGAGATGAGGAGCGGCTCTTCCGGCGGGCGCTCCGAGACATTTTTGTCATGTACTCCCACGA